ATTTAAATTCTATAAAATGGATCTGTTTTAGCTTTACTAAAGAAGAAATTTGGAGAACCATGTGGGTCACGGCTTATAATGTTTACCTTTAGTACTTTTCCATTTTTCCTGTATTAGGAGATTAGTGAAAAATAAGCTCTATAAATTAAGTTTCATTGCAAAATTATCTTCAGATGTACAGCAGTGAAGATGATATTGGGTGATAACACTAGAGTGGATTTTGTATAAAGCAATTACAACTTGAAAACCACAATCTGAATGAAAATACTGCTCAAGGTTTTCTGTAATCTAGTATTTAATATGAAAAATCCTCCCTTTGGAAAGTACTTAAATTACCTCTATTAAACACCAGACAACATAGCTAAGGTGTTAAATGCATGTTACTGACTGAAAAATACCCCACTGATACCTGGTTTCACACAACATCCTTTAGCAAGTCTAAAAGTTACATACTGGCACACCATTTTGCCTTTCATTAGGATTATTCTCTACTTAGTATATTGCTGTGGTTTCCAAAATATATTACTTTGTTTATTCAACCACTGGGTTTCATAATTCAGCGTTTTATGTAGGTGAGCTTGGCTCCCGTTAATTTTTTGCATTCATAGAAGCAAAGAGATACTCAGAGAGAAGAAACGTGCCTTTTGTAAAATATAATGTAATACATGTAGCCACACACATTTTCTTGACAGATTACAGTACAGAAGTTGAAAATGCATTGGGTTTAATATTGCACTTTAAGCAATTCATTTGTGAACTTATTAATTCTGCTCAATAATGTATAAGTGCTACTTCTGCATATAGCCCTTATCCTTGTCTACCACCTCTTGTCCCAACCTGGATGTGTATAAATCAGAGTCAGAAAGTACTTTCCCAATTCAAATGAGCAAACGAAGCCTGTTCATTAATTGCAAAGCCCGGTCTTCCATTGTGTAGGGGATTTTGAATGTAGCTTCTAATTGGCGGGGCGCTTCCCCAGTATCTGAGGAAGAATATACCTCTAAATATTTCATTGAGTGGACCTTTAGAAAAGTGTCTGTCTAAAGCAGTCACTTTGAAATAGGCAGAATGCTACATTTAGAAGGGTCAAATTATTCATCGGAAACATGCAGCTTATCCTCCCGGTTTCATTGTAGATAAATAATATGTGGTTGTGTACTCAACCAAATCTCCAGTGATGCCTTCGTGAATCAAGACAGTTAAGTCAAGTGGCTACAGGTTTCCGTCTTTTCAGGATGATCAAATTGAAATAGCCCATTAGGAATTGATTTAAACCAGTTTAGATAAGTCAAGTCTTAGTCCTGGCCCTTGAGGCTTTGGCTACTAAAAGTTCACTCGGAGCTGGGCATATACCAGCTCCACAGGCCATCAACTTTATTAGTGTGGAGATAAGCTGATTAGATCTTGTCAATCAAAGGTGCCAATATCTCAATTGAGAGTCTCTCTCCCTCTCTTTGTCGCCCACTTCAATGCCTTAAAAAAAAGAGAGAGAGAGAGAGATGTGTGGTATGCATCCCCATGGTTGTCACCAGGCAGGGTGCAAGGGTCCTGTGATGATGTGATGACTATATTAAAGAGTACATCAATTTGTTTTAAAGTGTTTTGATTTTTTATGGTGGCATTAAGCGAGAGAACATTGTGGTTGCAGCTTTACTAGAAAGCAAAGAGTTCTAGAAGGAGGAAAAAAAAAAAGTGTTTCTTTGAAGCCTACCGGGGCTTTGAGTCTTGCTGTGCCAATGGGCGCTTAAGTGCTCCTGTAACTGGCATACTCTGATCCACCACCAGCTTAGGTACTATTCTTCTGTCAAAAATTATTCATTTATATAAAATTGAAAAGATGCATGAATGTTTAATCTTTACAGAAGTCCTTTTAAATATTAGTCCAGCATCCCCTTTTTTTTTTTTAAGCTGTTTGTCTGGTAAAGGTTTGGTTGGTTGGGCAAATAAGAAGCACTGTCAATTGCTGATCAATTTAGGAAATCATAGGCTAGGATTATACAGTGCCCCTCTTTCCAGAAGTGCATTCTGCGCAGCTGTTCATAAATACATGCAGATATTTGTATCTCTTCTTTGGGGAAGGAGAAACTGGATAAATGAAACATCAGCTGTAAAAATGCAATAGTGCAGTGTTTCAGCCTTAGGCTTCATCATATAGTTAGTAAAAGATGGTAGAGAGGAAAAACTGGGCTTTTGTTCTTCACATCTGAAGTTTGCTCACACCATGCCTCCCTCGTACTTCAAATGCAAACAACAGAAGCCCATCCTTTTCTTCCATCACCCTACACTCACCACCCAATGAAGGCTGGAGCTACAGTGCTGCAGAACTACATTGCCACACTGGATTATCTCTTTATCAGCTGTTCTTCACTCCACTGTATCAATTTTCTACTAACCAATCAGACACTTCTCTCAGAAAAGACTGTTTGACTATTTCTCCTAGATAAATATATTTATAGCTACACAGATCCACACCGGCATCTCCCGCACTGCTTGTCGCAGGGACAAAAGGGGGAACCGCTTGTTCCTTCCAAGGGACTTGAAGCATGTCCCTTCTGGAGACCACTGTTAGCTGGGGGGGGGGGAATCTCAGGAAAGATTGTAGCCTTCTGTAGGATGGACTCGGAAGATTTGGTTCAGTATGGTACAGGAGTTTTGATATGCCTCCATTTTGCGTTGCAAGCTGAAAACCCCTGGGTATGTTTGCACGTTAGTGAAAGATGCTTCATTGTGATCTTGCCTCTATTGCTGATTAGTCAGGCTTTCAGGGTGCCCTGTTCGGCAGAGGCTGGCAACCCCCATTAACACAAAAAGAAGGATGTAGCAGTAAGCTGCAGTTGTCCGGTTTTTCTAAGAGTAAAGATTCAAGAGGAGCTTTTAACTCATTTTATCCTACCCTTTTTGTGGGGAAGTGGTAGGGAGAAGAGACTGGCCTTACATCTTGTTCAAATTAATTGGAATACCTTAAGTGTATAGGTAAAGGTACTGCACTGTATATTTTTCTTCTTCCCCGCTACTGTGTTAACAGGGTGCGTCCTGCAGTTAGAATCAATCAGAAATAAATGGGTTTTAAGAAATTATCAAAGGCGATACAGCAGACCACTAATCAAACAACACACACTTCTTGTGGTCCCTCACATATTGAAATCGCCCGCTCATTGCTTAAAATCTTCTGGTTTTGGAGCTTAAGAAGAAACTTGCTTAGAGCTCTAGTTTGCCTTTTATTGATCTCCTTTAACTTCATTAGTCATATTTCTCCCCAGACTAGCCTTATGTTTCTAAGGTGAAACTCTTTGTCATCTCTGCCTTTTTATTTTGTAGCGGGCTTCTGGTTGCATGGGATGACTGCATATTATACATCTGAAGCAACAGTATCAAAAACTGTGCGGTAATAATCAGCAGTAACTTAGTATTTCAAGAGGAGGCTGGTTTTATCATGAGTCAAATACGTCATTTGGAAGTCACTAAAAATATGGTGTGTGTCTTTTGAAATTACAGGCCACGTACGGTCCTAAGGGCTAGTATTTGGGACAGAACTCCCTTCTGCATCAATGACGAAGATGATGTTAAAATACCTTTTCTTCCCCCCCCCCCCCCCCCAATTAGCCCATCAAATAGCAAGCAAAGGGTTTG